AGTATATATTGAAGCAGAGACCAAGACCACCAAGTCCACTCAATTCCACCAACAATGGCCTTCAATGCACCTTCCCTATCACTTCTTGTGCTGGCACTATGCATAGGAAGGAGCACTCTGCTGCTGGCACCACCACCAGCATTACAGTGTGGCCCCAACCAAGACTTATCAAATGGCCTTCACCTCAACAAGCTACTCTGCTCTCCCCTTCCTTCACCATCACCACCAACGTCCCTAGCCACATACACCTTGCCGGCGCCGTCAGCCGCTACCTCCGCCTCATCCTCACCGAGCATCACCGTCCTCTTGTCCCTCCCTCCGCAGTTAATTTCTCAACCCACACCCTTCCCTTACAATCCCTCATTATCACCGTCGCTGAACCCGCCGCTCCACTCCACCACGGCGTTGATGAGTCCTATTCTCTCACAATCCCTGCAACCGGACCCGCCAATCTCACTGCCGCGACGCCGTGGGGCGCCATCCGAGGCCTGGAGACGTTCTCGCAGCTCGTATGGGGAAATCCGACGCGCGTGGCGGCGGAAGTGTACGTCTGGGATGCGCCGATTTTCGCTCACAGAGGCGTTATGCTGGATACGTCGAGGAATTACTTTCCGGTGGAGGATATTCTGAGGATGATTTCGGCGATGAGTATGAACAAGATGAACGTGTTTCACTGGCACATTACGGACTCGCATTCTTTTCCATTGGTGGTGCCTTCGGAACCAGATTTGGCCGATAAGGGGTCGTATGGCTCCGATATGCAGTATTCTCCGGCCGATGTTGGAAGGATTGTTCGATTTGGGCTTGATCATGGGGTTAGAGTTCTGCCTGAAATTGACTCACCTGGTTAGTATATCTAATTTGACGGGGTGCCCCCAATTTTTTTTTAATCATTTTTTACCCGGATCAGTGCCCACCCGACATCCATGCCTAACACTGAAAGTTGGACCGATAAATGTGGTAGTTTTGGGATCAGTGATCAGTGGTTTAATGGTCTGCGCACAATCATAGTTGAATTGGATTAAATTAATTAAAACATAAAAATATTTATACATAATAATAATATTTAAATAAAAAGGATATTAGTTTACAAATAAATAGATATCTTTGTATGAGGTCTTTCTAAACCATTGTTTATCCCAGTAAAACGGAGAAACATTAAGGGGGGGGGGGGGGGAAGGCTATGAGATTATGTACTGAGTGTCCGAGTCAGCTTATCCCTTTGTTTGCCCACCAAGTATGTAATCATCCTTTGTTAAAATCTGTACGATGAAATAAAAAATAGAAGAATTTGGTTTTGTCTGTATGTAAATATATAGTATGATCATGTTCTAATTGAAACTGTAAAGCTTTGACTTTGTGACAGGCCATAACCGCAGATCTAGTTATTTGGATGCAACTAATTGGGCTGATCTCTCCTACAACCTCGGGATCGGCCGAATATTACTCATTAAAAACTTCACTGAGTAAGAACAGAAAAATATGATTGAGATCCCCCAAAACCACCAAAAAGAAGTGGCTGCTTGAAACAATTAGTTGTTCTATACTTCTCTTAGGACATGAATGTTTAGAACCTTTGGATAAGTAACGTTTTCTGTTGGCATTCCAAAAGTATGCCGTTTTCCCCACATCAGCATAATTCAGCTTTATCAAACGGAAGTTTTGAAGATTGAGACCGGTCATATCTTGTGTTTGACGTGTTTAACATTCGCATCTAACAGTTCGAATTATATTTTCTGAGTTGATGTGTTATTGTGAGTAGCGTTACTGGAGAGTCGGGCAGGGGAGTGCCCATTTTTTTAAGTTCGAAGGTGCACACAGAATGATGAGGACTAATAAATTATTCTACTCATAAGACCTTTTGATTATTAGTTAATTAACACTTCTTGTTTAATATTCTAGTTTGAAGTTTACAACTTGGGGTCTGATACTTTGAAATAACCTCTATTCTAATATAAAAGCATGCCCTTTTCACATAAGTCAGTGATGTTACTAGGCATCATGATCCATAAGGCTCGTGTGCTTGAAAAACAAATCCCAATGTATTTGATGTTTCTTTGACACCTGTGTATAGACATTTTATATTTTGGATGTATCATATTTGGGTCAGTATCCATCGAGGCAATGATGGTTACTGTTCAAAAGAAAATGTGAATTGACAGGCTGAACAGGATCTGTATCTATCGGCTCTCATTTAATGTCAATGTTCATAAATTTCAGATTACCATGATTACTGATTTAAAGAACCTCTGAATGGACAGGGCACACAGGATCTTGGGCATTGGCATATCCAGATATTGTAACATGTGCCAACATGTTCTGGATGCCGCCGGGTGGTGATGCACTTGCTGCAGAACCTGGAACAGGACATTTAAATCCGTTAAATCCTAGGACCTACACTGTACTTAAGAATGTCATAAAGCATGTTACTTCATTATTTCCAGAACCATTCTATCATGGCGGTGCTGATGAGGTCATCCCAGCTTGCTGGAAAACTGATCCCACAATTCAAGCGTTCCTAGCCAACAATGGAACCTTCAACCAACTTCTTGAGGCATTCATCAATTCTACTCTCCCTTATATCTTATCCCTCAACCGAACTGTGGTCTATTGGGAAGATGTTTTCCTATCCGACCGAGTTCATGTTCCATCCACAATGCTTCCTAAAGAAAATGTGATTCTACAGACATGGAACAACGGACACGACAACACAAAGCGTCTTGTTTCTTCTGGATACCGAACCATTGTTTCGTCTGCAGATTTCTATTATCTGGACTGTGGACATGGGGATTTTGTTGGGAATGATTCCCGGTATATTATTCAAAGTGGAGATCAAGGGCATGGAGGGTCCTGGTGTGGGCCCTTCAAGACCTGGCAACTTATCTATAATTATGATATCACGTATGGTTTAAGTGAAGATGAGGCAAAGCTGGTTCTTGGTGGAGAAGTGGCATTGTGGTCTGAACAAGCAGATCAAACTGTTTTGGATTCGAGAGTTTGGCCGAGAACATCGGCGATGGCTGAGTCGTTGTGGTCCGGCAACAGAGATAAGAAGGGTATGAGGAGATATGGAGAGGCCACAGATAGATTGAATGAGTGGAGATACAGAATGGTAAGAAGAGGTATAGGGGCGGAGCCAATTCAGCCCCTGTGGTGTGTTAGAAACCCTGGCATGTGTTACTATGCATGATGGACTGATAAACACTAACTGAAATAGGTGTCGCGATAATTCACAGATTCAAAAACTTCTTTTGATATTTTATTGCTTCCTTACTCAGCCAATGGGCAATCTACATCTCTTGCTCATTCATTCCTCTATGAAAATGATGGATATTGCCAGTTATACTTGTTTTAGATGTGACTGAGTCTTATTCAAGTCATTGTTTATGTTCTTTCAAGAATTATTTTAATCGATTGTTTTGTATTAGGACAAGAACTCTGTTTCAGATATTGAAAGATGGTGTCTGTGTCATTATCGATTCGATATTTCTTAAGTTTTCTTTTGTATCACATGTGTCCAATAAAGTATGAATTATATATTTGATTGTCCCAATGAAAATATGAGTGAGTTTCAGCAGAACAAATATTTGATTCTCCAAAATCTGTATATGACACTATTGAGCATTACTTCTCCATCACAATGACGGCCAATGTTTATCCTATTTCGTCTGTCAAATGGAGTTCTTATATAAGTTTTTTGGTCAAAGATGTTATACTTATGGAATTGTGTATTTTGAAGGATTGTTACAAGAGTAAGTTGGTCCCTCGTGAACATGAGTGATCCTCGTAGTTTTTGAATATTACCAATAATAACATAGTTTAGTGGCATGAAAACTTTTTTTTCGTAATTTAAATGACAATTAACGCGTTGAGTCATGCCTACCCTTGAAATAAAAAGAAATTTGTCAACAATTCAGACAAACGAACATAAAAAGGGGGAGGCGAAAGATGAAGCCGGATCCAATTGAATCTGGCTTAGACATAGATCCGTCTTATTCTTACCTACCTCTGGTCATAAAGTGGGATTTTTGGCCCAGAAAGTCATTCAATGGGCCTTCCCATCCCACCCGTGAAATTCTTTTATTGTTATGTGCTTTCCAGCCAAGGTTCAAAGGTTTGAATCCCTGTTGGGATAGGTATTCACATTTAGTACCCGATAGTGTTTTGAATATGATTACCTCTAATAGGAAGATACTTATGCTTTAGCAAAAAAAAATTCTTAAGAGGTGCACACGTTATGTTAGACAGTATTTTAAATAGGATTGTATAAAAAGAGAATATCTGTGTCTAGCCCAAAAAACAAAATTCCACTTCATGAGTTTTTTTTTTCCCCTGTTTTTTTTTTGCCAATGCACCTCACATGAGTTAGAGAAATAAAATAGGGAGAATTGCTATGAAGTCTCAAATAAAGAACATAGTTATTAAAAAGTTTCCGTAATAATAGAACAGCTTTTAATGACAAGTTTTAAATAATAAATAAAAACTATTCACTTGTTATTAAGACTTGTTGGTAATTGTTTTTTTTATCGGATCCTCATTGTAACTATCCGATTGCCACATTATGAATATAAAATAAAACAAATTTAGAACTATAGTAATTGGTGAATGGGGTTTTAATTTTCAACTACCGAACGAAAATTAAATGAGTTGGTCTATTTAATTCACAAAACCTGTGTTTTGAGAGGTCACTGGCATGCAAGTCATCAATTAAAGCTTGAATCACTACTATCTATATCTGACCGCTTACACCCCTCAACATACCCAAATTTCTTTATGGTTTCTTTTAGTGTGTGGCAAGCAACGCAATACAGACAATGCTGAATATGATGATGAGGATATATCACTCTCCAAACGGCGCCTATCACTCCAAAACTCCATTACTTCTCACTTAAGACTCTTCTTTGATTGTTTCTTTCTCTGTCTAGCTATATATAAACCCCTCCACTATATGGAAAAATGATTCAAAGAAATCATCGCTTCTTTGTTTTGTTGTTAAAACCATGAATCTTTCTGTGTATGTGGTTTTTCTGGTTCTGCTGCTAGCTGCTTCATCATCTTCTAGTGATGCTGCAATGACGTGTGACCAAGCGACTGGGTATCTGAAGCCATGCCACGAGTACTTGACCGGGCCGAGTGGAGCGAAGCCGCCGGCGGCGTGTTGTGACGGAGCCAAAGCGCTAGCTCTGGTATCGGCAGCGTCGACCCCGGAAGATAGGAAGACTGCTTGTGAATGCATCAAGGCTGCTGCTCAAACCACGCCAATTAATGCTCAAAACGCTCACGATCTTCCTGATAACTGTGGCATCTCTCTGCCCTTTGAGATTTCTCCCGACTTGGACTGCGACAAGTAGGTTTTAATTAATTACTTCTTAGTTTGATTTGTTTCATTTCTTTCTTTCCCCTTTCACTTCAAGTATTGCTTAATATAATATAGGTTGGTTTGCAAGAAATATAATTTAAAAGATTGATTTATAAAAGCCTGGTAATGACTTAAATCGTTATAAAATTTCAACCGAAGAAGACAATTAATGATGGAATTATGTATATTGATTTAACTTCAATTCATTCAATTATGTTAAAAAAAAATATAATTTGATATATTTACAATACATTCTGGAAAAGGTAAGACATATTTACATTTTCATGTGTACATACTACATAAAATCTGAAAAAGAAGTCATATCATTTGTTGTAATTTGTAACAAAGATATATGGGTCAACCTTTTAAGGTATGGTGACAAATTTTCTGACATCTTTGAATTTACATGTGTATCGTTTGCAGGATTGGTCAGAGCCGAGCTGTGCAATGCAATATATTGAGAAGCTGAGACCTGAAAGCCATATATGTAGAAGGTTATCACTATATGTAGAGATACCTATACTATAGATGAATAAAATAATAATAAAAAGTTGGAACTTACATGGTTTCTTACTTCCGTTTTTTCATATTTTGGTCGACACATGCCTTGGCGGATTTAGTCAAAGAAGTATCAAAATTTATACATAATAATTATAATATAACACATTCAAACTTTAAAAATTGATCAACGACAATTTAAGTCTAATAGAAGAGACTAATATTAAATTCCTGCTAAAAGAAATCTTAGTATTTATATTTATTGTATGACAGTGCCTCAAATATAACACTCTTCAACAACATGCCTGTGCTTATTTTTCTAAAAAAAGTTATAATAGATTTACAAAATGCATTTATGACACCCAAATTAAAGAAACGTGAGGAAATATTACATCCCAAATATATATAATAAGCTTGTTTCATCCGATTTTGGTTACTTTGGCTATCAATTGTAAAAATATTAAGAGACATTTTTCCCTTTAAATGTTCACTGGAGAGCACCTGGCATCTTAAACTTCTAACAATTAAAGTTATGAAAACGTTTTTTTTTTTTAATCAACAAATCTGTTTTGAGATCTAAATACTAAAAATGCAAACAATATAAAAAGCCTCAAAATCACAACTCTTTATCTTCGGTTCATCTTGACGTAAATGAGTTTTCAAGATGAATGATCATGGGCAACTAGGGTTTCTTCCAGGTCCACCAAAAGAGAAGTAGTTGCCCCAGTCATTAGATTGGCCAGTTTGGACGTTGTAACAGTTGGGTTGGTCAACACGAGTGCGAATATTATTAGGAGGCACAGTTTGGTTGTTGCCATTAACAACCTTAATATTCCAGAAAAAGCAAGCTTTGCCATAACCTTCTTGAGGAAAATGACCACTTCCCATTTGTGTTGTAGTGTGTTGTCCATTTGATCCTAAGTTTAATACTTCACCTCCCCATCCTACTGTTGTTGCGCTCTCAGACAGAAGTGGGAACAGAGAAGCTGGCCAGTATCCCACAACTTCATTAGGCCCATATTGCAGCAACCAGTTTCCATTCTTTTGATCCTGCTCATCATTTTCAAAATCCTTATTTTCATAAAAAAAAAAGAAGAACAATACATCATTGGTTAAGACCATGACATTGCTTTTGACAAAATTTAAAAATAAATAAATAAATGACATTGCTATATGCATAGGGATGTACTTCCTCCTGTTCTAAATATATGAACTAGTTAATGGTTTACTCTAGTTCTAAATATTATACTTCAATTCATTTTATTTTTTAAATTTATAATTTTCTCTCAAACTATCCATATTCTATGCACATATTAAGGGGGTTTCCAAGGAGAGATAATTTCAATGCAAATAATTAAAGAGAATGTTTAAGAAAAAATCAATGTACATTTTTTTCGGCATAGCTAATTTAACTAATTTCTTTAATTTTTGTGAAGGATCGTAAAAAGTATGTTGGAATGATGAATCTACTTGGTCTTAACTCGAGGATTTATACATGGGGTCTTTTTCACGAATATATTTGTTCTTTTCCACAAAATTGTTACAAATCTGTAATTGATGTCGGAATTTTTCCTTTTTTTTTTGACATTAAATCAAGTCAGCTCGATTTCGCAAAAGCTTAACAAAACAGAATCAGTATACCTTCCAGACAAGGATGGTGATAGCATGTTGGGATTTGCTATCTCCATAGGCAGACAAGGGCTTTACGGCAGCTCCCACGACTACTCGATGATTCACTTGAATAAAGCCAGAGCAAAGAAGATCATAACACCCACTGGCATTTTCACCTGAACCACCCTATCAAATGTAAAGTAATGTCAAGAAATATTTACCAAATGATGAAGAGAGTGCCTTGAATAAGAAATCACTAGAAAGTGAACTCACCCTCCAAAATGTAAAAAATCTGGTGTTATTATCTCCATACAGCCGGGGATTGACCTGATTTACGATATTTCGAAACAACAGAATGACTTGAAATGTTTGCTTGATGTGAATTTCTCCCCCGATCCTGTGATGTGAATTTCTATTCTTACATATCTTCTTAATTAATTTTTTTAAATAAATTAAAGAATATATACCTGCCAACCAGCTTGAATGCTATTATAACCTTTACCAATGTTATCGTTTAGAATTGAGATCTAAGAGTCACTAAATTCATTGTGCTCTTGAACATGGGGATTCCAAACGTTCATAGTTGCCATGCCCCCATAATATTTATCTCCTTTTACATAAACTGCAGCAAACTGGATGATCCAAATTTGTCAAAGAAACAAGAAAAGTACATTATATGAGTAAACCCAAAAATAATTTCAGAAACATGGTTATATAAATATAATGATAAAGGTGCTTCTCTTTGGAATGAAACTAACGCTTTCAATATTTTGAAAAAAACCTGAGATGCACAGACGCAACAGAATACCTGGTGTTTGGTTTGAGTTTCAAATGATCCACATCGAGGGCTGTTCTTGAGATTCTTTTTTCCAAATTGTTGGACAGATTTCGCCCTCAATATGTCTTCCTTTCTTATTCTTCTTATGGGAATGGTTTCTTCTGGGCAACTTCCACTCTGTTGCCATAATTGAGCAACTGGTTGTGATTTTGCAGACACTTCACTTTTCTCAAGCATACTTTTTTCAGGATGAAAACTTGGTGTCATCTTCAATAGAATGAAATAATAAATTAACTTCAGAATTGTGTGCAAAGAGAAAACTAAAATAAAGATGGGGTTTGTTTAATTTTACCTGAATTTTGTGATTTTTGAGCTTTGAGTCAGTAAAAGCTGGTTGATTTGAAATATGAACACAATCGATTATATCTCCATCGGGGCTCTGACTTCTATAATTAATACCAAATGTTATTTCAACCAGTTATGAAAATAAAAGTATAAAACATGCAAAGTTTCATCATTATCTAAGTACACATATTCAAGAAAGAAAAACAGACATGATTAATTTGTTAAATATGTTATAATCAATAACATGATCCACCATAGCCTAATACACAAGATTAAACCAGAAATGTAATTCTTGTTCTTTCACCTATTGTTAAAGACACTGATGAGAAACAAAATTAATATTCAGATAAAGTTCAAACAAAAGTCAAGTACAGTAGTTATAAAAATCGTTTACCTTTATAGATTTAACTGCTGGTCTGTTCAACTTCTTAAAAAGCTTCTGAATCTCAAGATTCTGGTAATTAGAACTACCATCCCTGCCTTTGTCTGTTATCGCCATGGATACAGAAAACAGAAAGAAGAAGCATAACACATTCCCCACCCAAGTCTTGGCTTCTTCTGATTCTGTTGCCATTGAAGGACCTTCGTAAGAATTCTCAAATCGATATGTTTAGGATTTGAAAGGTCAGGGATTTATGAGATGTCCTCCACCATTCAAAAGTGAAGTTATTTAATTTTATGATTCGACGGGATTTAATTAACACCTTTGCAAAAATGCCTCTGGTATCATTTAAGGATACGTTATAATAATATTTAATAACCAATATCCATAATAATCAATTCCATAATCTTGCTGATCAAAGACATTACAATAATATATATGCCTCTATATGGTTTATTGATTATATTTCGTTTTTATTCTTTTCAAAACGGGACTGGTTGTTAAACTAACCGATTCAATGGTTTAAGGTTCGTTATTTCTTTTTTTTTTTTCCCCGTTTGTTCAGTTGGATGGTTGGTTTGTTTTGTTTGTTAGGCTTGTATCTTTTACCTTGCAGTCATGGGGCCGGCCTTTTCTGTTGGTTATTTTGAACCTGGTTGAATGGTTATTGAATTTGGTGGGAGTCAAATTAACGTACTTTTTATATCAAAACGTAGCATATAATTTTGTAATTAAAATGTTTATAAAGCTGAAAAAAGCTTGGCAGAAGTGTATCCTTAATCTTTTGACTTTATATAAGGCTTCATTTTGATTTCTTAATTTTATAAAATATCTTTTTATTGTTCTAACATTAATGCCATTAACAGAAAATGCTCACATTGAAATTTTAACTGTTGACAGATGTCAAGTTTAATTTTAAAAATAGTACTAATTGGCATAAAAAATCATGATTTGAGACTGATATTGTCGGATTAGAGAATTAAAAAGATAATTTTATAAAATTAAAGAATTAGACTAAAATTTTATATCAAATTAAAGGATCAAATGTATGTTTATAGTCCTCCATAATCTCAAATCTCAAATTAGACTTAAAAAAAAATGGCAGCAAATAAACTCTATAGCATCCATTAAGTAAATTTATAATCATTAATAATTAAGCGCAATACTTTTAGATTTGATAATGCCTCAATTAATCCTTGAAGGATAGGTGATATTCTTGAAGTGTTGGGACTGATTGATTATTAGGTTGGAATTTGAGGGATTGGAAGAGTTTAAATTTCAAGAATCAAATTATAATTGAGTCCACGTTACAGGAAGTAAATGATTATTTTTTCCCAAAAAAAAAAACACTAACTAAACTTATTTCAGAAAATATAATATCAAACTAATTTTTAATTTCTCACGTGCTTACCTGCGCTATACTCTTTTTTTTTTTTTATTGATTTGGAAAATCAGGTGAATCCAGAGCTGCATGGAGATAATAACACAAGGCTTTTCACATTTTGGACAGTAAGTTAAACTTGAAATTGTAGTTTCTTTGAGTCATAATCTTCAATATTGTTAATTTCACCATTTCATTTTACACTTGACTCAGGTTGATGCAGGTCAACACACTGGATGCTATAATCTTCTTTGTTCTGGCTTTATTCCAGTTAACAATGAAATAGCCCTGCGAGGCACCATAGAACCATTGTCTGTCTTTGGTGATAATAATTCCCGATATGAAATCACCATTCTCATCTGGAAGGTACCAACTTGGAAAGAATCTCTATTTCCATTCATGGGAGGGACATACGTGAGTTTCCATTTAGTGAGACAAACATCTAATTCAGACACTAATTTGTTCACTTTAGTAAAACAATATTGATTTGATCGATTTATGTTTTGATGATGAGCAGGATCCGAAGCAAGGAGATTGGTGGATGTCTTATGGGAATGATACATACGTGGGATACTGGCCAGCGCTCTGTTCTCTCGCCTCTCTGAGAGTGCAACAAAGATAATGTGGTGAGGTGAAGCTGTGAACTCACAATCTAATGGACAACGCACCACAACACAAATGGAAAGGGGCCATTTTCCTGAAGAAGGTTTTGGGAAAGCTGGCTTTTTCAAGGAAATTAGAATTGTTAATGGCAAAAATCAAGCCATCCCTCCTAATAACATTCGCACTTACACTGACCAATCCAACTGCTACAATTTCCAACTTGGTACTTCTGATAACTGGGGCAAGTACTTCTTTTTTGGTGGTCCGGGGAGAAGCCCTGGTTGCCCATGGTCTTTCCTCTTGAAAACTGATTAGATATATCAAAAGGAAAAGAAGGGGGAAAAAAAAGAAGTAACTTTACGTTGTTATTCTTGGAAGCTTTTTCACTTTTTTAGTTCTTTACTAGTAACTAATGCCTCAAGTAAGCTTATTTTTATATATGTTGAATTATATGTATCTATTATTTACCTGAGCGGAAATACATGTACTATAACCTTGTCTTTATCATCATATCCCTTGGCCATTTTAGTTTGCTTGTGTCTATTCGAAAGTCAAATCAGAGGCACAAGTTGAGAGAAACTGATTAATACTCTGTATAATTCACATCCCACGCCTAATATTCCCTCTGTGGCTTCTTCACGAATAAAGTGTAAGTCAAGCTCAAAGTGCTTGGACTTATTATGCAGAACAGGATTGGCAGCTAAGGCTACCGCGCCAGAATTGTCACACCAAATGGTGGGAGTACGAATCAGCTGATTATTTATCTCTTTTAACACAGCCATAAGTCAAAGAACATCTGTAACAGAATCTGCAACACTTCTGCAGTATTTCCTTTGGGAAAGATGAAAGCCAACCTCTGTGCCATGAAACTCAATGCCCAAGAAAAGGAGATAATTCACCCAGAACTTTTAATGAGAAGGAGGAGCTCATTTAAGAGATAAGTTGCTGTACATCGTTGTCATTGCTGCCCATAAGTCATTACAAAAAAACAGTTGATTAGCGATAGAATTTGTGACGGAAAAAAATTCCGTCGCTAATTTCGATGAAATTGTGACGGAAATTCCATCGCTAATTTTTTTGACGGATTAGCAACAGAAATTTTCCGCCACTAATATATTGACGGATTAGCGACGGAATTTCTGTTCGTCGCTAATCCATCAAAAAATCCTTAGCAACGGAATTTTTTCTGTCAGAAATTTCCGTTACTAATTTCGTCGCTAAATTGTTTGTCATGGAATTTTTATACTAATTCTGTCGCTAATTCTATTCCGTCACAATTTGTCGCTAATTGTCACTAGTTTTAAATTATAATCTTACAAAAATTTATATAATAACAATTAAGAATATAATAATTTAAAAACATTTTTAATTATAAAATAAATTGATATATTTGTGGAGTTGGTGTTAATAAAGATATCGCCATCATTCATGTCATCATTAGGTATATACTGAAAATAGAAAGATAATTTCTTAAAAATTGTTTATATTTCATTAAAATAAATTCCTCTTGATTATTAATAATAATTAAAAAATATAATAAGAATATTAATAACTTTTTTATACAAACTGATATAAGAAAGAAATAATTTTATCATATGTATAATATATTGAAATATATAATATATGATAGAAATTCAAAACCAAAAAATAAATTTATATGAGCGCAAACTAATATTGAAGTGAATTTTGAATTTCAATCATTAAACAATAAAATTTAATCATGATGTAATTAATACCCATGATATAGATTGATTTTGGTCTTCAATACAAAAACAAATGGTATATACAAAGAATTTTAAAAAAATAAATTACATAGGATATATATATAAGTAGGATAATACTATTTATCATAATCTATTCAAATCATTTAATTTTTTATATAGAATAATTTATTAAATTTTATTATAGTAGTTATTTTTTGAATAACAAGATTTTTTGACTAATTGTAAATGATTTTCTTCAAATATATAAAACACATATAGATAATATAATATAATGTAATATAATACATATATAATTAAATTGTATATCTTATCAATGTTAATTAAAAAATAAATTTTAAAAAATATTTATAAAAAATTATTTATGATTTAAAATTCAAAATTAGTGTCATTAGAAATTAAAATTATTTTAAAAATATTTTTTAAAAAATAAAAAAATTATAAAACAAATGGTAAAACAAATATTTAAAAATTATTTTGTCATTAAAATTGTTATGATTAAAATTATCATATAGTATATTTTTAGTTTTTAATAATATATATGTATATATAATTTTACATAATAAGTCAATAGGTTTATTACAGCTCAACTGGTAAAACCGCACACATGCACAGAAGAGGTCCTGGGTTTGAGCCATGGAGAAGTCAATTTGAGGAGGGACTTATATGGTGGTGACACGTGGCAGGCAAAGGTGACATGTGATGTGGCAGTAGAGGTAAGGTGGCAACGACAGGTGGAGATGGTCACCAGTGATGACGTGGCGATTGGTAGAGGTGCCACATGGCATTTTATTTTATTTTTTACAAAAATTGCATTAGCAATGGATTTGCGACGGAAATTTCTATGAAGAGCGCTAATCAAATTCTATCGCTAATCCGTTTTCGTCGCTAATCCATCATTAAATTCCATCGCTAAAAGCATGTTATTTTGTAGTGAGTTATGCCTTTTAATTTCATTTTTTAAAAAAAGTTATGCCTTTTAATGCACTTGTTTTGTCTCACTAACCTTTTTCTCACTCCACGAGTCTTGTTTTGTCTCACTAACTTTTTCTCACTCCACGAGTACTCCTTAATTACTAGGTTAATTCAAAGAACTCGACATAATCAAAAGCAATTGATATAACTAAGGGAACAATACATAAGGGGAAAAAAAACATTTGATATAACTAAGGGAACAATAAAGAATTAAAGTCGCCTTCTTATTCGCACAAAAATCTTGATTAGGAAAACAGAAAACTAGTAATACAAAGATCTGCATAATGATCTCTCTCTCTCTCTCTCTCTCTCAAAGGCAAGCAAGATTTCTTCCTGGACCACCAAAATAGAAGTAGGCTCCAAGTTCATCATTAGAAGATGCCATTTTCACATTGCAGCACTTGACATGGTCAGAGTAAGTGGCAACACCATTAGGA